ACCACAGCATATTGAAGAACCAAGTCGTCAAGCAAGATGATTTGCAAAGCTAGAACCTCGAAAAATGAAGATTATTGAAGGGCTTATGGCGGAACAGCCCCTATCAAAATGAATTTACGAGAATGTGAGTTGCACGATTAGCCTCGATTGGCTATCTCCGATGCACTGTTCGCGGTTCAGTACTTAGCCTGATGCATTTTTAATTTTTAAGCCCTCTTAAATAAATGGGCATAAACACACTAGATGATGATCCAGCCAGTGTGATGCATAGATATTCAAGCAACTTAAATGCGCATTTTAGACGCAACAATCATAATCTAGTCGAACATACAGAAGACAGTCTATGTGACTGAACAAGACACTTCAGAATTCAAAGCCAGGGATTGCTCAGTTGGTTGTATATTAGATTCGCAGTCAAAGAATCATGTGGCCAACCACAGATTGGGTGATTTACTCTTCATCCTTCCGAGGTAGATAAACGAATTCCATTTGCGGAGAAAGCCATATAGGGCCACATGGTATGCTAGGCGAATGGGTGGAGGCACAACTTCCAGTATATGCTTTCATTTTCCCATTCCTTGGAATTTTTGGCTCATAGCATAGAGAGTACAATAATCGCAGTACCATAACCCCACGTGGAAAAAGTGCCGAAAAATTGTGTATTTCACGGATACAAGAGTACTCTGATATCATACAATGATTAAAAGCCTTTAGTTCTCAACGATGAGTTAAACCTGACAATCAAATCTAAATTACTGTGTTATTCCGTGTATTACCATCCAGTTCGTCTCAGCCGATATCCGCGGTCTTGATTTATCGCTGTTGATGCCATACCATGTACGATATTAAGCATCTAAAAATATTGAAGCTAGCTCCGACCTGTAACAAATTTGTTATTTGTTTATTAGAAATTCATTTCAGAGTTCCACCAGGAGGAACTCGACACCTCTACGGGACCACGAATTCACAAATTCGTAAGCAGCTGATTGAGTTGGCGATTCGAAACTTGAATTTGACATGTTCACATGTTCTCCAGTTATACAGACATGTTTGTAGTCATAGCGGATTGTGAGGATGGTAGTTTGGAGAGTTATAGTAATGTACGTTAATCTGAGTTGGATGATGTTGTTCCACTCGTCGTTTCGTTCTAAATCCGTTTTATTGTCGGTGTTCTATCGCTGGCATTATGCAGTTTCGCGTTACCTTCTTTATTTGCTATGAGGTCGTGATTCTAGTAAACATATCTGGCCTCTTTCCTTGTATGTGCCTTTTTCGTAATCAAATAATTACCAGACGCTCATTTTCCGGATTTGTTTCGAAACGCTTGAACTTATTATAATTTAATTTAATGCATAACAAACGATTTAAGAATATTGCTGCTATATTTGCTTAACGTAAACTTATTTGATGCTGGAAATGAGAGATCCTCACTCAGAGCTACTGAATGGATGCGGAATCTGGTCGTTGCCGCTTTGTGAAAACTGTTGATAATGGCGGCAGCACGATAACTTGTATGTTGGGAATAACAAGAGGAAATAACAAGACAGGGGAGTAAGTAAGATCACAGGAATCTGCGACTTGTCTGCCCTGCTCAAGAACAATTTGAAATAGCTACCATGAGGACGGATTGCAAGAAGAAGGGACCATCTCACTGGACTACCGAGATACATTGGTCAACGTTGTTCCAAGAGACAGCAAACGACCTTACAGGAAGACCTGTAAGTGGATAGCAAGGCGAATTAAAGAATTTTATTTCAACAACGTAGACAAGAAGGTCGCAAGCGCTATAGAGTTTTGTGGCTAAATCTTCGAAAAGCCTTCATCCAGTAGTGGGTCGAAAAATGAACAGACGATGAGAATGAGTTACATTAGTGTTTATCGTAATCTGATCTGATAAGATAGTTGGTTTTGATAAATAGGTGATACGTGTCATAATGAATGGATATAATTTACTGCTTAAATGTACGGAACATGACAATGTTTTAACACAGAAACCGTTACCTTCGGGTCACAGAAACATTTACTCGTCCATTGTTTATCGGATTATCGCTGATGCCTAATTTTTGAAATCGGTATTCTTGGGGCTGCGAGAGCAGAAGGTCAGATCTTTTCTCCGTTGGTTTGTGTTCGGATAGCACGGTCAGTGTTGTCTGGACATGTAATTTGGTTATATGACGAGGCTATGAGCACTCTTGCGACCAGGAGGTAGATATCTTATGAGAGCCTTCTCTAGCAGCGCTACAGATAGTAGAGAGGAAGGGGGAGTGGAATAGTTGAGCAGTACGGTCGCCATCGCCATTATGACCTTTGTTGCAGTGGTAGTGAACGTTGCTGAATCTCAGTGTGAGATATCATTGCATAAAGTCAGATAACATACATCAGGGTTACTCTGCTGTTTAAGGTTTGCTAGCCTTTGATGATGATTACACGACAAACAAACAAATTGTCACAAAGACGGCATTTCGTCACTGGATAGAGAGTTCGTCGTTCTACAGATTTCAGGTTTTCATCCGCAATTGTGC